TTTTCAAGATCGGTAAACAACAAATGGACGAACAAAAATGTCTCGTGTGTTTCACGTGCGACATGATTATTAAACAAGCAGCCTGTCAGCTGAGATAGTTCTGCTGTTAGCAATGCACATTTCAATTAAAGAACTGAAGATATCATTAGCAAATAAACAATATGTATAGTATCAAAGCAATCAGACTTTTTACCAAAATGACAAAAACAATCATTAAAATTAGCTAATTGAAGATATCACCCTGAAATTACAAGTCTGAGAAAGCTTTACCTGAGGTACCTATATGTATAATAGCAAAGCAATCAGACTTTTCAACAAGAAGTCAAAATTATCACTTTTAACCAAAAATTACAAAAATATTCACCAACATTAGAGAATTAAGGATATCACAAATGATATGAACAAATCTGAGAGATTCTGCCGTAAAATGGCCCATCCAAACAATCGTCCTTGGCGGTTTCACGGCTGGTGGGCCCTTATTTGGGGTTCAAATTTTCAAAAATTATCATCAAATATTTTTAGGGGGCTTATATTTTCATTGAAAATTCCACCTACACCAATTTTCAACACCGGCAGTTGTACCACCCAAAACGAAAGACACTATTGCAGAAGCTAATCTAAAATTGTATACATTTTTTCTAGCGGAATTAAGAGGTAGATGCATCTTTCTCCAAAAAAATCACATTAACGAACCTTGTGCACCAAATACAATTATTTTGTTTCATTTTATTAGTAAGGAAAGTATATTTCTAAAAGAAGTTTCATTTCAAAAGAAGTTTCATTGCATTCCTTAGCAGCAAATGATCATGGTAGCGTAATCCGGTCAGGCTGCGTTTCACAATTGTTGATTATTACCTAGTAATGATTATAATAACGTACAAAAAATAAATTCGTTGAATTATTATGAAATGCAAATAAATTTCAACTTATTTTATCGATTCTGAACGCATTTTCAACGCTCAATGCTGTAGAAATGAATATCCGCCATATTTCGACCTGAAATGGTATTCTTTGACCTGACAGGTCAAATCGATCAAGCAATGAAAACGATGGATGATGTCAACGTATTCAAATTACCATAGCTCATTTAAATATGTTAATGTTATTAAACGCAACACGGAAGAGATTTGCCGATGTTGTAGTCCGATCTTTTGGCTTAGATTTTGATGGGAAAGCGGCATGATTTGTTTTTAAACAAAAAAATTAGTTAGTCGCAATACACATCAATACTCTTGAATAGGCTACAGTGAAACTTTTAGGCATTAGAAAAGATTAAAATAACACCTTAAAAAACTGCAGAAAAATCGCCCTGGGCGGTTTCTGGGTCCCATTTTATTTTTTTAAAACCCTATTGTTTAATGGCCCTAGGCAAATTCACGGCAGAATCCGGTAGTACCTATATATGTAATATCAAAGCAATTGGACTTGCGGTTTTTTAACAAGAAGTCAAAAATATCACTTTTTACTTAGAAAGACAAAAATATTCATCAAAAATAGAGAATTTGAGATTTTGACATGAAATGAACAAATCTGAGAAAGAACCATCCAAGGTACAATATACTTGCATATCAAATTTGAAAACATTGTGACTTGTGGTTTTGAAGATTCAGTTGAAATTTTAAAGTTGACGACGAACAATCAGTACCGCAAAAACTCCAAAATTCAAACGATTTAAATAATCAGTGTTGGGAATCTGACGTGTTTTTAGAGTCAAAATTAAGGTGCATTTTCAGACGGTCAAATTTTTCAGAATAGAAATCAGCAAATGAAAAAAAAATGGGAATGATAGACAGTGAGCTTCATTAGTTTTTTTAAAAATGGAAAGTTCGTCAAATTGACGTAAACTTCCCCATGTTTCACGGTAAAGCAAAGGTCGTGGCCTTCAAATCAAATCTAATCAAATCAAAACAAAGTCATCAATCAGTGAGTATTATGACAAAGAAAACAAAACATCAAGACGCTGAGAAGAGGTCAGCACAAAACTAATAGGTCAAATGACCTAGGAAAACTTGCGAATGTTCGAAGTACAGGTACCCATTATGCAAATTAGTAATTAATATGTAC